ACAATATTAGAATCATTTTTTCATGTCAGTGTAAGCAAAAAAAAAAAATACATTAAATAAACGTTTGCAGCCATTAAACGTTAGAAGTAATTAAACATAAATCACTGTCGTCTTTAAGAAAAAACAAACATTTGTTTTCATAGGATTCCTTCTCAAGAAACAGATCTAAGATTAGCTCGTGGCTCATTTGGAGACGTGGGTGTTGAAGCACTTTGGGAACAGAGGCCAGAATGAAGGATAGTCCTTAGGCATTGTGGGTAAGAGAACTGAGAAAGAGAGGAGGTTTGGAGGGGAGAACAGGAAGGAGTGATATCTTACAGAGGTAATCATTATAAAGTGCCAAAGAGCATTGCACTAATCGAGCCTGAGATCTATGTACACTGTACTATGTATTATTGTTTATGTATCTTGGTGTGTGTGTGTATCTGTGTCAGTACCTAATTGTTTAAAATAAAGCCTGAGGTTCATGTTGTGTTTAAAAGCTGAGTTTCAGTGTAACTTATGGACAGATCAGTCAGTGCTGAGAGCTTCACGTTCAGGTGAAGGTGTGGGACTGAGGCTTTTATTTCTAGACGAGAACACAATTTGTAGAGGAAACACAGGGAGAGCTGTAGAGGAGCTGGGCTTTAAGGCAGATAGGGGAGGAGGTGGGGCGGGCGGGGGGAGGCTGATGGGACTGCAGAGAGACCGGGGTCAAGAGGGTAATGGGGNAGCGGCAGTCGATGGAACCTCAGCGGGAGCTGAAACCTCCCCAGCGAAAGCTGAAAGCCACTCAGCAAAAGCATCAAGAACTTCAGCAGCAGCTAAAAAAACTCTAGCAGCAGCTAAAAGATCTACAGCTTCATCTGAAGGAGCTTCAGCAGAAGCTGAAAAAGCATCAGCAGAAGCTGAACGAACCACAACACCAGCCAAAGCCACTTCAGCAGCAGCCAAAGGAACCCCAGCAGCCAAAGCCTCCTCAAAAGCAGCCAAAGGAACCCCAGCAACAGCCAAAACCATCTCAGCAGCAGCCAAAACCGCCCCAGAAGGAGCTATCAGATCCTCAGCAGCAGCCAAAACTGCCTCAGCAGCAGCCAAAGGAATCCCAGCAGGAGCCAAAGGAGCCTCAGCGGGAGCTAAAAACTCCTCAGCGAAAACTGACAACCGCTCAGCAAAAACTTCAAGAATTTCAGCAACAGCTAAATAAACTCTACCAGCAGCTAAAAGATCTTCAGCGTCATCTGAAGGAGCATCAGCAAAAGCAGAAAAAGCTTCAACAGAAGCAGAAAAAGCATCAGCAGAAGCTGAACGAACCACATCACCAGCCAAAGTCACTTCAGCAGCAGTCAAAGGAACCCCAGCAGCCAAAGCCTCCTCAAAAGCAGCCAAAGGAACCCCAGCAGCCAAAACCGCCTCAGCAGCAGCCAAAACCACCTCAAGCCCTCCATCAGCAGGAGCTAAATGATCCTCAGCAGCAGCCAAAACACCCTCAAAAGCAGCCAAAGAAACCACAGCAGCAGCCCAAACCGTCTCAAAAACAGCCAAAGAAACCTCATCAGCAGYCAAAGAAAGCCATGCAGGAGGTCCACCCAAACCTGCAGGAGGTCCATCAGAACCTGCAGGAGGTCCTGCTGGAGCAGGACCGGCGCSCAGGCWGGAGAGATCGATGAGGTCAGGTGGTGGARTCCATCCTGGTCCAGCTGATGGGAAATAAGATGAGAACATGAATGTGTTAATATTTCTCATATCTGACAGCTGAGAACAATCAGCTACAATCATTACTGAAGTCAGAAACAATTGTTTACAATCTAAACCTGTCAGGAGCAAAACCACACAGACTTTATGACCAGTTTCACTCTGAGAGTCAACACAGTTATAAAAAAATGTTCATGCCACATTTTGATGGCTATTTAAACGGTTTGCAAGGAAACTTTTAAATAAGAAAAAAAAACTAATGTTTAAACAATAAACAGATAACACCACTTGCATAAAAATAATTCACAAAACATTTTT